GTACTATTTTCAAAGTATTTTTATTTTTATTTTATGATTTATTTTATTTAAATAAAATGTTTACTAATTATTATTTATTTTTTTTTTATAGTACACTGCATACTTTGAAGGTATGTTTTTAAAATAAAAACATTTATTAATATCTTCTTTTCTTATTTGTAAGTGATCTTAAACAACTTTAAATGAAATAAGATTTAAATTATTTTCTATTATATTTTTTACAAAATATTATTAATGTTAATTTTATTTTATAGATTCTAAGTTTTAGATTTGATGTTATAGTAAATAGTAAATATATTATTCGTTATTTTTAGTAATCTAATTTTATTAGTTATATTTTCTTTATTTAGGTATACTAATATTTGCAATAATGATGATATTATGGAAGATAAAGGTATAAAGTAAGTAAATGGTAAAGGAGGTGACTTAAATGTTATATAAAAAAAATACAAGAAGTAGTAGCTAATTACACTATTTTTAAAACTTTTTCAAGTAAGGTTGATTAGTTTTGACAAAATGCTACTAGTGTCACTTAATACTAATGAAAAGAAAATAAAAAATAATTTAAGAAAAGTAGTAATATATAAAATAAAGAGATAAAAAAAATAAATCTATTACTACTTGATATATAATTCCTATTTTAGAAATTTAAAATTTAAATTCAAGTTAAATTACATATCTTAAATGAAATACTATTTTTAATTAATTTAAAATAATTACTAAATTTATTTATATATTTAAGATTTAATTGTTAAGTTACCATTGTAACAGTTAAATCTAAAAAAAATAAAATTAATTTTTTTTATTTTAAAAAATTCACCTTAAATGAGAAAGTATATGTTATAATTTTACTTTTTTCTGAAGCAATGGACTATCAATTGCAAGTTAAAATAAATTTTTATAAAAAAATTTATTGAATTATTACTTTAAAATATTAAAAATCATGATTTAAAAATTTATTAAAAAAATAAAAGATTTTTTTTTATTTTATATTTAAATTAGATCAACTTTAAGTTAAGATAGTATAATCTAAAACTACTTTTAATTAAATTAGTTTTAGTTATCTTTTCTTACGAATAAAGATTAATGACACAGCTAATATCAAGTGATAAAAAATAAAAAATGGGTTTTTATATAACTGATAGTTAATAAGAAACTAACAATTTTATTTATATGATTTTAATATAAAAATTTATATAATGTATTCCTTATATAAATACATACTTTTGTTTAATTCCAAAAGAAATGTATTTATGGAGAGTTAACTATATCATAATTTTTATTATTTTTTTTTAATTTTAGCGATTTGTCTTTATAAATAATTTTTTTTTATTTTAGATTAGATTAGTTCTTTCTTTTAGGCTAAAAACTAGACAGAACTTTTGAACAGAACTATCTGGTTCATCATTATAGTGAAGGTAAGCTATTGATTTTTTTTTAGTTTTTTTTTTAATAAAGATATTAATTTTAATATTTTATCTTTTATTTAGGTTCAGTCAATTCTCTCTTTTAAGCTAATAATTAGATAGAACTTTTAAATAAAACTATTTGATTCATTATTATGGTGAAAATAAGCTATCAATTTTTTTTTAGTTTATTTATTTAATAAAGATATTGATTTTAATATTTTATCTTTATTTTTTTTATTTAGATTTGATTAATTTCTTTTTTTAAGAACTAAAAGATAAGCTGACTAAATTTTTTTAATTTATTATATTTTCTTTTTTTTATTTAGTAATTAATTCTAATTACTAATTAAATTTATTTTATTTGATTAATTATTTTATTTTTTTTCTTAGGCAATTTTAGATTAAATCTTAATCTTGATTAGTAGTAAATACAAGTAACTAAAATTATTTTTCTCACTATTATTTATTTTTTAGGCTAGATTAGTTCATTCTTTTAGCTAAAATATCTATTTTTATTATTATAGCATAGGTTTTTAATAAATTTTTTTATTTTATTATTACTTTAAATATTAGTAATTATAATCATTATTTTTTTATTTTTTTTTATATAATTACATAAAAAATTACAAAAATCTTTCTTTAGTTATTCATGTGATTCTTATGTCCAAATTTTTTTTTTTAAAAAAATCATATATAAACAACTGTTATTTTTATCAATATTGATATTGATATTGATATTGAAATTGGAAATTGAATTGATATTGATATTAATATTAATATTGAAATTAAAATTGATATTGATATCAATATTCAATATAAAATCGACTCTCATAGTTTCTGCATGAAGTTAACCAAATTTATATATATTCTTTCTTTTTTGAAAATATATAGATTTTATAAAATAGATAAAGCTTAAAACAAAAATAAAATAATATTATTAATTTTCTGAAAAATTGAAAAATTTAATATAATTTTAGATTTAAACATTGTTAATACAGTAGTTAGTAAAACTATTGGTAATTATTTTAATATATAAGAATTTTTTATAATTAGAGGAAAATAAATAAGTAAGTAACTTTAATTATTAAGTTAATTAAATAGAAGTTTGTTTTATTTTTTTTTTTTAATTGTTTTATATATTTATATAAATTATATGGGTCGATTGCTAGGAAAATCAGGTTCCGGGAATTTTTTAACAAAATTGAAATTTTTATTGCATTTTAGTTTTTGATGTTATTAGATTAAAATGTATTAAGCTCTTAATTTAAGTCAAAAATTTCTCGGAACCTGATTTTCCTAGAAACCCTCCCATATAAAGTATTTATTTATATAACATATTTAAATAGTAAATAATATATAATTAAGTCATTAAATTAAATTTTTTAATTAACATTTTTATAAAGTTTAATCATAAACTCAATTTATTGTAAAATGTGACGTAGTCTAAAATCAGTCATTGATTATTGAAGTGTATAACTAAAAAGTTAAGATCAGGAAATCAATTTCGAAAATCGAAATTCATTTCGGATGAAAATCAATTCGGATATCATTTCATTTCGATCGACTCGAATATCGAAAATCATTTCGACCATCAATCATTTCGATCGACTCGAATATCTAAAATCAATTCATTTCGATCGACCTTATTTATTTTAAAATAAAAAAAAAATAAAAAAAAAAAGAATATAAAAAAAATAAAGGGAAATTGTATTTTGCGCACCCTGCATAAATGCACCCCCTATATTTATATATGTTGAAGCGGAGTTAGGGTTAGGTTAGTGTTAGGATTAGGATTAAGGTTAGGGTTAGGGTTAGGGGTTATTTATCACAACGCATCATACCCCTATGTGTTTCATTTTTACGGTTTATTCCGGGGACAGAGAATTTTTTTTATAGAAATTTTTTATTTGTCATCTCTTATATAACACGCCCCACATTTTGCGCAGGTGCGTAGAAAATAAAGACCCAAAAATAAAACTAAAGCTTACCTAATAGAAAAAATCGAAAAAACAAAAAAACAAAAAAAAAGAATTTAAAAAACTTTCAAATATTTGAAATGCAATTTGTATTTCAAACGGAAACTCTATTCTACACGATCTTATGTTTTATGAATGTACTTGAAAATGATAATAAAGTATGAATAATAAAAGATTTTGGTGCTTAGTGAAGATTGAACATTTGCAAATTTTTTTTTCCGGATTTCTCTTGCTTACACTTTTCCTTAATGGTGGTGTGAAAAAAAGCGGTAATAACCATTTATATCGTATTTATCGTATCGAAATGCATAAGACAAAAAAAAATCTACTGTTAAATAATTCAGTTTTCACAAACTAGTCCTTTCCAAAATACTTAATATTATTTATCTTTGAGACTCGTTTTAAAAAGAAGTCTATTTAATTATCTTTGCAATTATAAAAAATAGAGCATGTGCATAAACAAAAAAAAAACAATGATCGGTTTCTAAAACTAATTTGAATTCTGTAGGCAATTATGCATCAAACATTTCAGGAATCTTCAAATACTTTTAGAATTATTGATTCAATCTCTATGTTAGTAATTTTTTTGTATTTGCTTCGATTCCATTACCACATGCTAAAAATTCACTAACAGATTATCGCTGCTTTCACCATGTTTTCGTCCAATACCTCCATGGCTTCGTCCCAAACTGAATCAAATTTATAAATCAATAATAAGTCAGGAAATTAAAACGTAAAAGCGGCTTAAGTCATTAATTTTATTGGATAGTAATATCATATATGAGAAAAACAAAAGAAATCTATCTAAAGCCAAGCATTTTGACACAATTTGGACATAGAACAAGCGAACCCATATTTTCACGCTAGCTTTGCTACTTCTTTCTATATTATTGGTCCTAAAGTTCAGGGAGAAAATTCATCGACCAACAGATATATCATTTTAACTAAGGCCAATAATGTTCTATTTAAGAAAGAAAAAGAAAATCTTAAAAAAAAAGAAAAAAACAAAAGAATTGAGCGTAGTCCTAAAAGAGCTGAAGTGTTAATAAAGGTAATCTTCAGAATGAAGACAATATAAAATTATATTGGTGTATTTCAACTTCTAAACAAGTACTTATAAGATAAACAATTTCGTTAAGCTTTACCTAAGTAGTATAACGGGATTTTGAATATTCTGAATGACAAACAATGTCGACTACGCCCTTGTTAAAATATCGTTATAAATACATGATCTGATACTACGCCATATATGATGGTAGATTTATTAAGAAAGCAGGATTAATATACTATGATTACTTTGAATAACAGCAAAAATGAAATGTGTACCAGGAACTTGAAGCTCAAAGTCAATAAAAGTGAAGCTCCACAATATGATAAATAACGTCACGAGAAATTTCATTGATTTTTGTTTAGTTAAATAATGTTTTTAATAAGAAGGCTATTTAATAAATTATAACTATAAATACATTTGATTTATAATAATTTTTTCTTGTAATATACTAGAAACCTAATAAATACAAAATTTGGTTGGAATTTAATAATATGTTAGTTTATTGTATGTAAAAAAAAAAAAACTAGGATAAAAAACTTTCAAGAATTACCATGTAATAAATCATCAAATGAGTTGATCTACTGGGATGCCGGTAGCGGAGGATATGATTTTCCGAAGGGAAGAACGAAATTTCCCAATAGAATTGTATGTGAGGTTTTTGATACCATCATATTTTTCAAAGTAAGCGAATTTCGATATGCTATTACTTTGGTAACGAACGATAACCAAGGAGTCACAGCGCATCTCCCGGAGATCATTATGCAGAACGGCCACAAGGCGTACCAAACGATTCTCTTCTAGGTATGTTTTGATTTTTATAGAAAAGATTTTGTTTTTGCTGAAAAAGTGTTTGAAGAGATTAAGAATCTTTTGCGTAAAAGTGGTTTCATTTAGGTTGATAAGGACCAAAAGTCGTAATAGTCGAAGGATAATCGGCAAGTAAATCTCTTCCTTGCAAAAAAGTAAGTCCAGAAGCTGTTGAACTTGATCAATGGAATTATTGATTACAGATAAATAATTTTTTCTGCTATAAATAGTTCGTCCCGGAATGAGAGGATTCACGGTGAATACATCAAAGTAATTTATCAGATAAGATCGAGGAAGGCAAAAATCGCAATACTCTTGACCAACTGCAAAAATCAAAGATGTCGTAAATTCCATGAGAAACGCAAGTTCACCAAGAGCATCAGATGATGCCAGATTGACCTTTTCAATATTTTTTATAGCATAATTAATAAACGCCCCTGAGCTTGTAATCGCGTGGATCACTTTATTAGTGTGAAGAAATGAGAAAAATAGCGCGAGATGCCTTCCAACCGGGATCATTTGATAAATTCCACAATAATATTCAAAACCTACGGGCAGATAGCTAGGGTGTGAAAGAATTTTTGTTTTCGACATCTCCTGATAAAATTCATCAATGATCTTTTTGTCCTGAAGCTGCTGAATAACAAACAAGCGTTTTAACATTACTTCAAAGTTATCGGCATCCTTGGACACATTAAATAACCATATCTTGTAAACGTCATTGATAAGATCATCACGGATGTGGACAGAAAGTTTGTTCAGAACCATACGAGTAACTTCTGGACAGCTTGTCTGAGGTGATTGATAACACATATGACATTTAACCAGAGTTTCAGCCCACCACTTTTGTGAATTATTTATCTCTTCATTATGAAGCTCATAACGGCATAATACATCCAACTGTCGCACCACTGTATATTGGAGTCTCGCAAGTTTCAGGCGCTGGAATAAAAGTAATGGTGTTGGAACTATGTGATACATTCGACAATTTGGATTTTGACAATTATTCGATGATGCAAAATTATAGCAGATTCTTGAAGCTATATCCGGATTATTTCTACCATCCTGATCGGCTTTCGAAATTAACTCGTAGATATACGAGGTAAGGAACTGCGAAATTTTTTGATGCACTAAATCCACGTCATAAACATTCCAAAAGTTCGTAATTTCTTCATTTTCATTATGCTTGATGTCCATAAAATAATAAAGAGGGTTGTAATAAGAAACTTTTCTTTTATAAGGATTTTTTACTCTGCTTACAAAACAAATATCTTCAAAAACTTTTGCAATATCGTCGTTTTTTTGCGGGGCTATAAAAGATAAGGACAATTTACACAGTCTCAGCAGGCATTGTAACCATTCATCCCAATAATTGATATTGATATCGGATGGCGAGGGAACCTGAAGCCACGTGACTATCGCAAAAAACTCAGTGACAAGCTCTTCACGATTTCTGAAAAATTGTATGCACTCATGGACTTTATTGAGTTTCTTATTCAAATAAGAAGAATAGCACTGAAATTCTACCGTTAGATTCTTCCAATATTCAGATTTTGATTTAACTTTCTGAACAATCTCGGCTGCTTTTGAATGAAGCCCATGCAATTCCTGTAGCATATTTGTACTTGTAAGACTAATTATTTTTTTCAATATATGAACTCGGCATTGGTACAATAAGCATTGTAGCGCATCAATTCTATCCCCTTCAACGTCAATCGAACGCATAAACATGTTGGCTGCCTCTTCGAACTTATCATATGAACGTAGCTTTTCTGCTTCTTTACGAAAATGGGTGTTTAGAAGGAGAATTGTTTCATTGTCAACTTCTTCTCTATGCCTTATCAAGTAATTTAACAAATGTTACAATATAAATTTCTGCAGAATCTTAGTATGTTTAAAGTAATATTACCTTTGAATCAAATTGGTTACCGTTTCATAAAGGCTGCCATTTTTATAGGAAATAACGGCATCATCATACTTCTTTATCTTTTCAAAATATACACCTGCTTCGTTCCACATCTTGGCTTTAAAATAACAATGCGCAGCAGACTCAAACATATTTGATTTAACGTAACAAATACCGGCCTCACAATACATATCTATATTCTGAAAGTTTTATTGAAGTTTTTAAGATTGATGTATATAATTAAGCATTCTAATTTAGAATGTAACATGTTATACCTCATAGCAGGAAGCTGCTTTTGACAACCGAGAACATTCTACGAAGGCCTGAGCGGCGGAAATAAATTTGGACTTTACGGTTTTTTCATCAGAACCGGATACGAAGGAAGTTCTGGCTTCTTTTCGACGAAGATACGCACGGGCTAACTTCTCGTTCTTTTCGTTTTTACTCTTTTTGAAACAGAAAACAGCCTATATAGGTTATACCTTAATTTAGTAAACTCAATTCATTATTGAATAGCACTGACTTATTGAAATGAGTTTACCTGTTCATATTTCTGTTGCTCAAAAAACGACTTTCCCACTTCATTCCATTCAAAATGACTACTCATTTTAAGCAAAGAAGAAATGTTTTCTTTTGCTACTTCAGCTAGCTTCTTACATTTCCAGTACCTCCGGATTGGCTCGCTAAACTCAGAATTTTCATCAAAAATCCAAAGACGCATTCGGGCTCTTGTTACTGCGACATAAAGATGCTTGAGTTCCGAACAAAGGATATAATGCTTCTCATGAGAAAAAGTACGAATTCCTTCAGAATAGCCATCCAAAGCGGAGAGAATTACTCGCCACTAAAATATGGTTCACACTTACAAAATTCAATAATGATCATTTCGTGCTTTTCAAAACAAAGTACCGTAAATAATACACATACATTTGATCGGGCAGGCGAATCGGCAAAGAAATCATACAATAATACGTCATTAAACTCCAAACCTTTTGCCTCGAACACAGTCAATACCAATCCAATATCGCTGATATTGTCCATCACTCGTTTTTTAGCTTCAGCATCACGTACAATGATAACCTGGTTAGCTCCAAATTCAATATAAGTATCCTCATTCTTTTTAATGTTTTTCTTATCATTAATGTCGGTGATGAACAAGGTATTAGCCTGATAATCCTCGAAAATAAGAGGTTTTGGACCGTCAATCTCACCGTATTCTGGTGCCATTTTGTCAATAGAATCAGGAAAGAATTTCTCGATGAGTTGGATTACTGATGAAGCAAGTCGAAGAATCCCGTTGTGTGATCGGTAGTTAACATCTAGTTCAAACTTTTCTGGTTTTAGTAGATTGTAATGGGTATTATCAGATTGGATTCGACTGAGATTCCGTTGGTACATTAATGCGTATAAATCTATTTTATGAAAATTAGAGGTTAGAGATAGCTAGAAGTAATTATTTAATCCTTAATAAAAAAACATCGCGTACCCTGGAATCGAAATGAAGATCCCCGGGCAATGCATTGCGCTACATCACCGGCCATAAAAATACTGTCCGCACCATCGAAGATTTTGAACATGAGCTCGTAATCTACAATATGATTATCCTGACATTCGTCAATATACAATTCATGAATGTGCGGGCCATCAAACGTTTTCGTTTTGGTTGCGCGTAATATGTCTAGTGTTCTACGAAAAAGAATTTGAAAACATATGAATACTTATCCAAATCTAAAAAAAATCTTCCAATCTTACCGATCAACCGCATCAAAGTCAAAATTCCCCGCTTTTATGTATTTATATCGCTCAAATAAATCATAAATTTCGTCACGGTTGTGACAGAATGTTGGGTATTTTCTGGTACTTATGGAACGGTATTCTTCCCTTGATAGACATTTCGCTTCAATATTCATGCCCTTCAGATTATTTTTTGAAAAAACCTAAACGTTAAAATAGAACTTATATATAGACGTAGGGTTTTATGTTGTTGCATACCTTGATAATGGAAAACTCAGCATATACTAGTTCGCAATCTAGCTTTTTTCTATAATTATCTGCGAAACTAGGCCAATACTTTGCTTCAAATAGATTATAGTCAACAAAACGGGCCCATGAAGCGTTTGACATGTTCTTAAAGGAAGACCTAATGTGGTATTCCTCCTCATTAAGGTCATCCGTATCGAGCTTTTGTTTTTGTTTTGTAGTCAACTTTCGAATGTCAATACCGTAGGTTTCCTGAAGCATTTCCGAAAACTCTTCATAGGTGAGGAATAATGGAAAGTCATGGTCAGTCAGCAGACGGAAAGGAGTAACACTTGGAAGATTTTCGTCATCCTCTTCATGCATAGTATTGACAATTAGTGACTTATTGCCGTATGTTTTCTTCCACTCAATAAAATCAGCCTTCGATATCTTTTTTCCAGAAAGCATTGCCGAATTATGTAATTGATTGAAGTAATTCTTTATCTTTGAGCGTAGAAAGGTGTTCGCCGTAATAAATATTTGCCTTTTGTAGAAATCCTCGTCATTGTCATGCAAAGATGGCGTTTTATAAAATTGGCTAGTCAGATATGAAGCGAGCTGTCTAAATACGATACATGTGGTCTTGCCGGTCCCTAAATATTAAATGTTCCAAGAATAAAAATAGATTAATTCAATTCATTGTTTTCAAAACTTTCCAATTAATGAGACACCATTCTCCGCATCATTATAATTCTGATTGCCATTATCACAGTATCTTTGACGCCATTTTCAAATAAATAATCGTTACTAACCAGATCGACCGAAAACGATCGCCGATGTAGGATTGTTAATTATCTCGTACTCTTTCTTAGATACTTGAAAGGCGAAGTCCGAGCCACTCATAATTAGTGACTTAAACAATTTCTGCAAGTAAAATTATTTATTTAAGAGTTTGATTCTCAGAAAGTCTAAATACAATATTTATATAACGACGATACTCTACCCTTGAAATAGGAAAAAGTTTATTTGTGACAAGCATTTTATGGACAGTTAGTAGCCTCTTATCGTTCTTCGCAACGTCAGCGAATCTTGTTTTCTCAATATCTCCAAAGCATCCCGGTAAAACGACATTGTCATTGCCTAAATTTTGTATTTTGCACCGACGAATCTGCTTAGAACTGTAGACCTTATGAACTCTTTCGAGAGTTTTTAATGTTGTAATAAACTTTTCTTGGCATGCAGTGATGGTCCAAACCTTTACATGTTGAGTAGACGAATTACTACGAATAGAAAATCCGTAGTCAATCTGCCAGAGAATCTTTATATCACTGTTGGGAAGTTCAACTTCATAGATAGGTATAGTGAGAGCTGACACCTCACATTGGAGTCCGTACTTTTTCCATGCTCCGGAAGATATCTGCCTGAGTTTTTTCATAACTTTTTCAATAGTGAGAGGTGACTCTACATGCATATCATTGACGTCTTCTTTGAACAATATGTCCTGTAAGTCCCTGATTGTGCCTTCACTGAGCAAAATGTCCCACGGTCCAAGTCTGTCTGTATCGTTGAATTCGAATGGAAAGTGAAAATTACGCCCTGGTAAATAGCTTCCAGCGTTTATTCGCTCTCTTCCTTCCATGAGTATTTTTTTTTTGTCAATCAATTTTCTATTAAAAGAAAACTTGGTGTACAGAAATCCTATAAGGTTATTTATCAATTATTTTTTTTTGATAATGGTTTATAAAACAGAGAATAAAACAAGCGAAAAAGAGTACCGATCTACAAATTTCCGGAAAAACAAATAATGAATTGTTAGGCTTAAACATCGTTACACGAGTCAATATATTGTTGTGATGATATTGTCTGAGATATTTGTAATTTGATAATATTTTGAATTAGTTCATTTTAATGTAACCGGTTGTGAAATCGTTGGAATTAAAGGAATTAGCTGTCCGATGGAGTCTTTTTGTATTTTCATCATTTTCATAGAATTTCATTCAAGAAAATAATATTGAATGTAATGACCTTCAAAAGAACGCCGGAAGAGACTAAACAAGTTAATGTTTGATTAAATCTTTTAAACTTCTTTTTAATGAATTCTTACTTTTAAAATATCTAAACTAAGTTGAAAATCATGAGCCTCATTATTAAATGGAGTAACTCCTGATATTAATTCCCACATAATCATAGAAAAACTATATATATCACTAGCTAAAGTATAAGGTTAACAGGTTTACATAATCCTAAATCACTAATAGATAAAACCTTATTTCTAACATTTAAAATATTACCATGATGAAAATCACAATGAATAAGATTTTTTTTTGATGTA